TTTTCCGGAAATTGCATGAACTATAGTATTTTCTAATAGCATGAATGGCTAAACGCCCTAATTCTGGGGCTGTAGCTACGAATGAATTGTTGATTATTAAAGGCTTGTTGAATTAAATCTTGGTTGTCATTATAAGTTACTTCTATATTCTTGTTTCAGTATTTTATGCTTGCGCATCATAAGATAAATCTATTGTCTAATCTTAAAATCGAGAGAGGAGGGATTAGATAGACCAGAGAATATAGAGAGCTCGATTGACCCATTAGATTGAGGTGATTTGTGTTTAGGAGTGACTCCCGGACGAACAACTTGCTTGGTTACGAAATAGGATGAAATATAAATGCTCGTCAGTTAGTCTATTTATCTTCGTTCAACGATGTAGTTAGATAACTAATTGGAGTAGGCAACTAGAGGTGTGTAGCTCGACTCATACAATTAACCCTATAAACCAGTAACTTGACAACTAAAATTAATTCTAAGCCAATAATATGATACATGATATTCAGTATATGCTGCAGCCCTGGAATCTCTTTTAACTTGTTTGAAACAACATATTAAAGTCGTTCACAATTAGTTACTTTCAGTTAGTGCATAATTAGTAGTAGTTAACAATCAATCATCAACTCTTGAAAATGTAACTTTTACTTTTATTTGTAGAATTAAGTGTTAAATATAAATTGATCATAAGTCCCCTGGGAACGATAGCTCGCTTCTTAAAGAATCTATATTACTTGCGCGACCACGTACACTTCCGTGTATATTGGGGAGTAACACATACAATAATGTCATCGTGCCTATGCTAACAGTTTGATTACACTTTCCTGGAAGAGCTAATTAGTGGGTACAGGATGGCGTACGAGCAGTTGAATGGAAATTTTGGTCCTAAGATGTGATATCATCGCGTGAAAGGCCTCTTTCCAGGAATAGAGTCCATTGAAGATCTCCGCTTCCTTCAGGAGCTGTAACTTTTATCAGCGAACAAAATTAAAGCTTATTGCTCCTGTGAGAAATTAAAATTGTTGTCTTCAGTTTCATTTCTTATTGCTAATCAGCATTCAACATGTTCAGTTTTTACTAGTAGGGTTCTCAGTTTTTTTCACTAGTAGGGTTCTCAGTTTCCTTACTAAGATATATTAATGACCACTAATATACTAAAGAGGAGGTTTAACTTGTTGACTTTCTTTATTTTAAGTATAACTTACGTGAATCCCAGAGTAAATTACATCTTATCCCTATTTTTTTTCTAATTACAATAATCCCTTAAAATTTGTACCTTCCGGATACATTAATTCTAATACAAGAAAAATCTTTCTGTTACGCTTAAAAAAGAATAAAATCTGAAAATTAATTAAATCTCATAAATTACGCTTTTATTTGCTTGATCCTCGCTATCTTTGAGCAGATTTAATAACCGGTATTAATGAATTTTCTTCTTCAGTTTTATTCATGCAACACATCAGATGAAGCTCCTTTTCCTCCCACTCAACCTTCCATTTCTCTAGTCCGTCTTTGATTTGTTCGATGGAATTGGTAAGAACATCAAGTTTCTCTTTTGCTTCAAAAAAATCCTAATAGATCGAAGAAATTCAAAATTTCAAATTGCTTCCCCCGTTCAACGAAGAAACCTTTCAGATTTGATTCAAAATTTTTTGTGGAAATTTTGGGTAAGCAAGGTGAGTTATGAAGGATAAAAAAAATGATGGAATTGTTGTTGGACAAACGATATCCTTTTGAATCTTCAAGTTCATCAAAGATCCTTTCAATTTTGATTCAAGATTATCAAAAATTTTGAGATTCAAGATTCTTTCTTCTCTCAGTTCAACAAAGATCCTTTTAATTTTGATTGAAAATTTTGAGATTCAAAATTCTTCTCCTAGTTTATTGAAGATCCTTTCAATTTTGATTCAAATTGTCAAAAAAATTGAGAAGATACATCATGAATATCTTTGCTACTTAGCATTTTACTATTTATGTATCTTGTTTAAATTGACAGGTATTGTATTTATACTAGATACATTAAATAAATAATTGTTGCTCATAAGATGTTAGATTTAAGATGATACATTACTGTGTGGTAGTTGCTATGTAATTGATACATTTAGTATAAATTCAAATTTCCGTATAAAAAATTAGTGCATGATACATTACTATTTATGTATCTTGTTTAAATTGATAACTATTGTATTTATGCTAGATACATTAAATAAGTAATTGTTTCCCATAAGATGTTAGATTTGAGATCTATACATTACCGTGTGGTAGTTGCTATGAATTGATACATTTAGTATAAATTCGAATTTACGTATCATATCTAAAAATTTAGTGCACAATACATTACTATTATGTATCTTATGTAAATTGATAAATATTGTATTGTTTACCTTGAAAGATATGTATAACTTAAATAATGTATCATTTTGTAGTTGATAATAATGTATTTGATATAATAAGGTTGTGAAAGAAGGATGTATGTAAGCTGAAATAAAGTGTATCTATAAATGCATCACAATAAATAAGAATTAAGTTATCAATTAGATACATGAACAAATACAATCCATTAAAGAAATTTGATTATGAAAAGCACCAGAAAAAAGAGGAAAATATTAGACCGTATGAAATTTTAGTGAAATTGAAACTAATATTATTATGAGACAACACGAAGATTAAATTATAATACAAGAATCCTAATCAGTTCAATGAATGATTAGTTGTTAGAGTCCATAACCAGCTCAACTTATGAAAAATGTATAAATATTATATTAATTATTACCAGATAATAACTAATACGATTACTTCTTCTTTTTCTAATTTACGTTTTAGTGTTGAAAATTTGAAGTTCACTTATTTTATTTTATTATAAATTTTGAAGTATTTTAAAAATATGTAAAAGACTCATAAATATGCTTTTAAAACTTTTTTGTCAAAATAATATTCTTAACCTACAAAAAAGAGTATGATTTTGAATTTCAAACATAAATGAGAAAATAACTATCAAAATTCTGTGACTAAAAATAAGGAGAGATTTGTGGAGTGAAATAAGAAAGGGATAAATGTTCCAAATAGCATATTTTTTTGGTCTGTGATACATAACACAAAGTTTATGTATCACGCATATAATTTGATACTGTGTACGGATACATATCCTTCTAAATTTGAATAAGGTAGAAGATACATAACCACACCTAGATAAATGATAAATAATACATTTGGTGGAAGTTTTGTATCAAGTATCAAAACTAATTAGGGTTATGTATCAAAACTAATATTTGAACATGATACACTACTTGTAATGTATCGTAGTATTGAAACAAAGTCATTATACATTAATTAAGAAACAAAATTAACTAGATACATTAAAATTCTAGTTAATGTAAGATAATTGTGGAGAGATTTATGACTTGAAAAGGGGAGAAAAAAATTGTGGAATTAATTATGTATCCGGCAATTTTTTATTTAAATTTATTATTTCTATAATTGAGTTATTACTACTGTAACGATCAAACATTATTATGAGTACTAATAAAAATAATTTATTACATATATAATTGCAAAAACTAGTGACCTATTTTTGGCGCTATAGGCTTAGCTGCATCCACCTTGCATTCCTAAAAAAATGGTATGACTAACAAGTTAATTGATGCAACTAATCAAAAATCAGCCTAAAGTTAATTAGGAAGTATTTTCAACAAACCCATTTAGCCGTATAGGATTATATTAAAGAGGAAATACTCCACTTTTAATTCAATTTTATTTTTGGTTAGTTTAAATTTTTTGAAAATATTTTTAATATTTTTTTTTATGTTTGATTAGTTTAAACTTTTTGAAAATCAAATTTGGATATGAATTTTGTAACTGCTAATCATTTGGAGTGAATTTAGGGTGAGAAAATAGGAGTGAAAAATGGAGTGGTGACTGTGGGTTTGGCTGGTGACTTTTATGTATCCGGTAGTGTTTAAAATTAGGAGAAAAAAGGAATTTATGTAATATTTTTAAAAAGTAGGGAAAAATAGAGAATAAGGAAATTATATATGTGTATATAAGTAATTTATCCTTATTTTAATGCACATGGCTGATTAAATAAAAAAAATGATACAGGTAACAGAGACATTGCTAATTAAGATAGTGTGAATTGTGTTTGCAAAGGAAATAAAGAAGTTGGGGAAACAGTGTTGACTTTCTTTATTTTAATGCACATGGCTGATAAAATAAAAAAAATGATACAGGTAACAAAGACATTGCTAATTAAGATAGTGTGAATTCTGTTTGCAAAGGAAATAAAGAACTTGGGGAAACAGAGCACGTGTGAACATGTTTGTACATGAAATATGTGTTCTTAATCTGTTCAACTCAATAAATTAAGTAGGTAGTGGATGTTTAGCAGGTGCCCAATGTCGCATCTCCATACTTTTATCAATTTCTTAATAAAGACAGGATTATTAAAACAAGTTTCAACCTTCAAAAAACCATTAAAGCTTAGTTGATAAGTCTAGCAATTTCACCTTGTGACCCATTTTTCTTGGATCCAGTCTTAGGCTTATCCACCTTGTAATCCATTTATGTCACTACTAAAGACTTACTCGTATTTGCTGTTTTTAAAATACCATAGAAGATATGTATAGATTTGAGCTGGTCATGGGGTTATTTTAAAAATAAAAAAACCAATCCAATGATGAAAGATTACCTATTTACCTATCTTATTCCTAGCTCTGAGTTTCATTCTGCTACTATGGTTCAACCTATTTGGTGTCTTCAACCTCTGGTAGTCTAGTTTTTTATCTTTCACTTTTTGTTAAATGCATGCATTTTTGGATCTTTCACTTTTTGATAAATGCATGATCTTTCACTGTCTAGCATGAAGATGTTTTCTTATTTTCACAAGTCTGATCTTGTTGATACATTCTTGATACTAGGAGTTGACTTTGCCCATTGCATGGATTGTCATTGAAGACAAAAGTTTTGGACTGGTATTTCATTTCAGGGCTTAGAAATTGGAGAAGGAGATGCAGGACATATGGGATATATTTTGTGGGGCATCAGATTGCTCGAAAGTAAATGGGAAACCTTGCAGTACTGATTGGATATCCGCGGCACTACCTTCATCATGTATCAATCATGCGTTGATCATTTGTTCTGATGTTATACTCTTGTTTTCCTTCCTATTCACTTTGTTTCCTAAAACATCCTTAAAATACACCAACATTCCTGTTTGCTTTTCTAGGTTCTCACGTTTGCAGTTGACTTCTGCTATTTTCAATGGTTTCCTGGGAGTAATGTATCTTTCCTTTTTCATTTGGGTGTTTGAAGACCAAATGAAGAAGACCCATAGTGCATTACCACTGCATTGGTGGTTAATGACCTTGTTTCATGGAATTGCATGGTTATCAGTATGTTTAACTGCAAGCCTTAGGGGAAAACGTGTTACAAGAACTCCCTTAAGGCTCTTGTCAACTCTTGCTTTTGTCTTTACTGGATTTTTTGCTGGTATGTCACTCATCGGGGCTATTCTTGATAAAGAGGTCACAATTAAGATAGTTCTAGACGTTTTGTCCTTTGTAGGAGCATGTTTATTGTTGTTATGCACCTACAAGGGGCTGCAGCATGAAGAGAGATATAGAAATGATCTTTATGCTCCCTTAAATGGCGCTGACAGTGGAATCAGTAGAAGTGATTCTGTTAGCTCCGTCACTCCCTTTGCTAAGGCTGGGGTTCTTAATAAAATGTCATTTTGGTGGATGAATCCACTGATGAAGAAGGGAAAACAAAAAGCTCTTGGGGATGAAGAAATTCCCAAATTGCGTGAGTCTGATCGTGCTGAATCATGTTACTTAATGTTTTTGGATCTTCTGAACAAACAGAAACAAGTTGATCCGTCTTCCCAACCGTCGATTCTAAAGACAATTGTGTTATGTCACTGGAAGGAGCTTATTGTGTCAGGACTCTTTGCGCTGCTAAAAATAACTACTCTATCTGCTGGTCCTCTCCTTCTTAATGCATTCATTAAGATTGCTGAAGGAGATGCAGCTTTTAAAAGTGAGGGGTTGTTATTAGCCATTCTGCTGTTTATATCAAAGAACCTGGAATCCTTGTCACAAAGGCAATGGTACTTCAGGAGCAGACTCATTGGCCTAAAAGTGAGGTCTTTACTTACAGCAGCCATTTGTAAGAAGCAAATGAGATTATCCAATGCTGCCAAGCTGATGCATTCCAGTGGTGAGATCATGAACTATGTAACCGTGGATGCTTATCGAGTTGGAGAGTTTCCTTTTTGGCTGCATCAGACGTGGACTACAATGATCCAGATCTGCTTTGCACTAATCATTCTCCTCCGTACAGTTGGACTGGCAACTATTGCATCCTTGGTAGTGATTATAATCACGGTCCTGTGCAATGCTCCGCTAGCTAAGTTACAACATAAATTCCAGTCCAAGCTAATGGTTGCACAAGATGATAGGCTCAAGGCTATCTCAGAGGCCCTTGTAAATATGAAAGTTCTGAAATTATATGCATGGGAAACTCATTTTAAGAAGGTCATAGAAAATTTGAGGCAAGTAGAAGAAAATTGTTGTTCAGCTGTTCAATTGAGTAACGGATATAATTCCTTCCTTTATGGGTCATCACCTGTTTTGGTCTCTGCTGCAACATTTGGGGCTTGTTATTTCCTAGGTATTCCACTGCATGCAAGTAACATTTTCACCTTTGTAGCAACATTACGTCTGGTTCAGAGTCCTGTAAGCGACATTTCTGACCTTATTGGTGTGGTCATTAAAGCCAAGGTTTCCTTTGCGAGAATTGTCAAGTTCCTTGAGGCCCCTGAACTGGAAAATGCAAATGTTAGGCAGAAGCACAACTTTGGATCTACAGATCACGCCATACTTTTGAAATCAGCTAATCTCTCATGGGAAGAGAATCCACCTCGACCTACACTGAGAAATATTAATTTGGAGGTTAGATCCGGTCAGAAGATTGCTATATGTGGGGAGGTGGGATCAGGAAAGTCAACACTTATGGCAGCAATTCTTGGAGAGGTTCCAAGTATCCAAGGAACTGTAAGTTGTATTCGTTACTTACTGTTTTCCTTGCTAGGTAGGAAATGACAAGCTGGTTCTTGAAGTTTTTATTGTAGGCACATTCATAAATTTACTTCACTAAATGCAGTTCTAAAAATATAATTACATATTCTCAACTGATCTATAGATTCTCCGTGTTCCTCAGGTTCAAGTTTACGGAAAAATTGCCTATGTCTCTCAGTCAGCATGGATTCAGACAGGGACAATACAAGAAAATATTTTGTTTGGTTCTCCACTTGATAGCCAGAGATACCAGCAAACTTTGGAAAAATGTTCACTGCTAAAAGACCTTGAGTTGCTACCTTATGGTGATCTCACTGAAATAGGTGAAAGAGGAGTTAATCTTAGTGGTGGTCAAAAGCAGCGCATTCAACTTGCTCGTGCACTGTATCAGAATGCTGATATATATCTCTTAGATGATCCATTCAGTGCAGTAGATGCACATACTGCTAGTAGCTTATTCAATGTAAGAAAAATGTAGATAATTTTGTGCTTCATATCACTTCTTCTGATCTGGAAGCTCAGGTCAGGACTGGTCTTTTGCAGGAATATGTCATGGGTGCTCTCTCAAGGAAAACCGTCTTTCTTGTGACGCACCAAGTTGATTTTCTTCCTGCTTTTGATATGGTTCTGGTTAGTAACATCTATTTCTGAAACAATTTCTGTCTGTCTTTTCTTTAAAGAAGAAAAGAGATGTGAACTGTTGAACTCCTGATATGTTTTCTGTAAAATCACAGTTAATTTTGAAGCTGAATGGTTATATGCACAAGAAATGGCCTTACATATGTCTACTTTTATTCACAGTTGCTGTCAGAAGGAGAAATTTCACATGCAGCTCCATATCATCAGTTATTGGCCTCGACCAAAGTGTTTCAGGACTTGGTTGATGCACACAAGGAGACCGCTGGTTCAGAAAAGGTTGCAGAGGTTACTTCATTGAGGCGAGAATCTCATACAAGAGAACTTCGTAAGACTGATACTGGGAAAAATTCTATTGTTCCGGGAGGTGATCAGTTGATTAAGCTAGAAGAGAGAGAAGTTGGAGACACTGGATTAATGCCTTATGCTCAGTATCTAAATCAGAACAAAGGTTACCTCTTCTTTGCTATGGCTGTATTCTCGCACATAACATTTGCGGTTGGTCAGGTAACACAAAACTTCTGGATGGCTGCAAATGTTGATAATCCACAAGTTGGCACTTTGAGACTGATTGAAGTTTACTTGCTAATTGGAGTTGTATCAATGCTGTTTTTGCTCTTTCGCTCTCTATCAACAGTTTTTATGGGCTTGCAATCATCGAAGTCTCTGTTCTCACAGTTATTATATTCTCTATTCCGTGCTCCTATGTCATTTTATGACTCTACCCCTTTGGGAAGGATATTAAGCCGGGTAAATATCTCAAACATGAACATTGAGAAACAAGCTATGACATTGATATTAAGATATCTATGTACCTAACCTTTTATGCTTCCTACATCAATCCGTGTATGCAGGTCTCATCGGATTTAAGTATAGTTGATCTTGATATTCCTTTCAACTTGATTTTTACTTTTGGATCTACCACAAACTTCTATTCCAATCTTACAGTGGTAGCTATTGTCACTTGGCCAGTTCTGGTTATCTCCATCCCAATGCTTTATTTGGCCATTCAGTTGCAGGTAAGAGTTGGCTATTTTATTTTGCAGAACTATTCTCTCAGTGCAAGCAGTAACTGATAAAGAGACTTCAAACTTTTTCTCTTACTCTTGGCAGAAATACTACTATGCATCAGCAAAAGAGTTGATGCGGATAAATGGTACTACCAAATCATTTGTGGCCAACCATCTTGCTGAATCTATTGCTGGAGCTGTGACTATAAGGGCATTCAAAGAGGAAGACAGATTTTTTATGAAGACTTTGAAGCTAATTGATATAAATGCCAGCCCGTTCTTCCACAATTTTGCAGCAAATGAGTGGTTGATTCAACGACTGGAAACTATTACTGCTATTGTTCTTGCATCCTCAACACTTTGCATGGTTTTGCTTCCTCCTGGGACTTTAAGTTCAGGTATGCGATGAAATAATATTATTCTTGAGACTAGATAAAGAATTCTGCATTATTGTTCCTTGACTTTTCGCCAATGTTAAACAGAGCAGGTTTTCTGATAACAAGCTATTATGCTTTTGCAGGATTCATTGGGATGGCTTTGTCCTATGGTCTTTCCTTAAACACATCTCTTGTTTTTTCCATTCAAAACCAGTGCAGGCTAACAAATTACATCATTTCGGTGGAAAGACTCAACCAGTATATGCACATTCCAAGTGAACCACCTGAGATTGTTGAAGAGAACCGTCCACCAGTCAATTGGCCAACAAGGGGTAAAGTTGAAATTCAAGATCTGCTGGTAAATTATAACTAATTACTCAATTTCTTGTATTTAGAATGTTCAAAATACTGATCAGTGTAATCCAAAGCAGGTAAGATATAGGGAAGATACCCCTTTTGTGCTTAGGGGGATCAGTTGTACAATTGAAGGAGGTCAGAAAATCGGTATAGTTGGCCGGACTGGGAGTGGCAAGACAACACTCATCGGTGCACTATTTCGATTAGTGGAGCCAACAGGTGGAAGGATTATAGTTGATGGAATTGACATTTCTAAAATCGGTCTTCATGATCTAAGGTCTCGATTTGGGATTATACCTCAAGACCCTACACTCGTCAATGGAACAGTAAGATACAACTTGGACCCCTTAAGTCAGCATACTGATGAGGAAATATGGGAGGTAATATGCATTAACTTGTCATGTGTTGGTCATTATTCTTGCCATTAGATGGAGAATATGCATTGTAGCAAAGGCGATTTTCTGATTTATTGCTTTCATTCTCATCTTCAATGGAAAAGGTTCTTGGGAAATGTCAGCTAAAAGAAGCAGTAGAAGAAAAAGAAAAGGGGCTTGACTCACTGGGTAAGTCTTCTAAATGCAAGTCTGATTATTTTATCTGTGGATTTTTGTTTGACCATTGTAGAGTCATTTCAGTTGTGGAAGATGGATCAAACTGGAGCATGGGACAGCGACAATTGTTCTGTTTGGGACGTGCTCTTTTGAGGAGAAGTAAGATTTTGGTGCTTGACGAAGCAACTGCATCGATTGACAATGCCACTGATATGATATTGCAGAAAACCATCAGGACAGAATTTGCTAACAGTACTGTAATTACAGTTGCCCATAGGATACCCACAGTAATGGATTGTACTATGGTTCTGGCCATTAGTGATGGTAATACCTCTTCGTTTACTTTTAGACACGACTATGATATGACTTTCAGACATGTTAATCCCAGAATGTTTAACGTTGGTTGTGAATACAGGGAAACTAGTGGAGTATGATGAACCAATGAAGCTGATGAAGCAAGAAAGTTCACTTTTCGGACAACTCGTTAAGGAGTATTGGTCTCATTACCACTTAGCAGAATCTCATTGAAACTAACTGCATGTTTGCAATACCTTCTTTGGCCTGGCATAGATTGCCTATGTATTTACTACAGCTATATATCCCCCAACAAACCACAACTAGGGCAGCGGAGAGCTCAACGTCAATCTATTTTTCATGAGCATATGAAGTTAATCAAGATGAGGAATTCTGGAATATCATAAACCAACGTGGGGCATTTGCATGAGCAAGAGAAGTAAAGAAGCTAGTGGTCTTGCAGGCCCTGGAGTTAGTGAGCCTGAATTAACTGTATCTTATTGATTTTGCACACATTTATCAATTGTCATCTATGTTATATTTTCTACTATGTTTTATAGATGCACAAAATCATCCAACTAGCGTTTTTGCCGACGAGAATGATATAATCTACAATAGTTATTGTCAAAAGGACTGGTGGTCAGTTGTTAAGCCTTCAAAAGTGAGTTTTTTTTTCCCTCAAAAAGATGACACATTCTGAAGACCATAAGAGTCTAAAAGACATATATCCATTAATACCCAAAAATATTCAACGTCCGCATACAGTTTTTATGTGTTTTGACCATAAGTTTTAAATATTTTTCAACAAGTGTTGCATCTTATTTTACTTTTATTTTGATCTTTTTAACATCTAAATTAGGAGTTAATATCTCAAATTGGTTACTCATTTGAATGATTAATTTAGAAAGTTACTCAACTTTATTGTATATATAACCCAAAAATCATAATTCATTTAGAAAGTGCAATTCAATGTAGGAACCATGGACGTCCATGAATAAATTATTTGAACAATCTTCAACAAATTTTTAAGCTGTTGTTTCATGACATCCATTGCAATCCCTTGCGTCTTTGCCGCTATAGTTCCACAGCCAATTCATATATACAAACAGTGAGAAAACCCCAGCTGAGCTACTCTTTCCATGTAGACGAAGTTTCTTCCAGTCGTATATTAGACAGACTCCCAGATATCAAAACATTGAAGAAAATTCATTCCAAGATCATTTTCGATCCGGGTTTATGTAACAACACTTCTCTTGCCATCAAATTGATGCGTGCTTATGCTGCTTGTGGCCAACCTAATGTTACCCGCCAATTGTTCGATAAAATACCTGAGAGAAATGCGGCGGTTTATAATGTCATGATCAGGAGCTATGTGAATAACAAGTACTATAAAGATGCGATTTTTATGTATAAAGATATGTGTAAACGAGATGTTAGCCCTGATAACTATACATTTCCGTGTGTTCTTAAAGCTTGTTTTGGTTCCGACAATTTGAGGGCGGGGCTGCAGATTCACTGTGCTGTTGGCAAGAGAGGTCTTGATTCTGACTTATTTATTGGTAATTGTCTGGTGGCTATGTATGGGAAATGTGGGTGTTTAGTGGAGGCTCGCCAGGTTCTTAATGAAATGCCCAAACGGGACGTTGTTTCTTGGAATTCAATGGTTGTTGGATATGCTCAAAATGGAAGGTTTGATGATGCGTTAGAGGTTTGTAAAGAAATGAACGTGTTAGGTTATGAGCCAAATGCAGGAACCATGGCTAGCCTTTTACCTGCTGTAAGCAATACCAGCATTGAGAATGTCTTGTTCGTCAAAGATATTTTCATGAGTTTGGATAAAAAGGATTTGGTTCCATGGAACGTGATGATAGCTGTATATGTCAAGAATTATATGCCTAATGAGGCGGTTGAGCTCTATCTCCAAATGGAAACTTGTGGGATAGAACCTGATGCTATAACTTTTGCTAGCATTCTTCCTGCTTGTGGGATCTTTCAGCTGTATCATTAGGAAGGAGGATTCATGAATTTATTGAGACAAAAGGTCTTCGTCCAAATTTATCTCTTGAGAACGCATTAGTTGATATGTATGCCAGGTGTGGGTGTTTGACAGAGGCAAGAAAAATGTTTGAGGGGATGAAGTTTCGAGATGTTGTGTCATGGACTTCCCTGATATCTGCTTATGGTAAGAGCGGCCAAGGTCGGGATGGAGTTGCGTTGTTTTCACAAATGTTGGAGTCTGGTCTTCAACCTGATTCTATTGCTTTGTTTCCATTCTTTCTGCTTGTAGCCATGCAGGATTGCTACTTGAAGGAGAACACTATTACAAGCTAATGACAGACAAGTACAAGATTGTTCCTAGTTAGAACATTATGCTGCATGGTTGATTTGAAAGGACGAGCTGGACACATAAACGAGGCCTTCAATTTCATTAAGCATATGCCTATAGAGGCTAATGAGAGAATTTGGGGTGCTCTTTTGGGTGCCTGTCGGGTGTACAATGATATGGACATTGGCCTTGTAGCTGCAGACAATCTTTTTGAATTGGCCCCAAAGCAGTCTGGTTATTATGTTTTGCTATCAAATATTTATGCAAAGGCTGGGAGATGGAAAGATGTAACGACTGTTAGGTCAATCATGAAGGGAAAAGGGATTAAGAAAATGCCTGGTGTCAGCAATGTAGAGCTAAATAACATGGTGCACACCTTTCTTGCTGGTGACACGTCTCACCCACAATCAAAGGAGATCTATGAAGAGTTAGACATATTAATAGGTAAGATGAAAGAGGAAGGATATGTCCCAGAAACAGATTCTGCCCTTCACGACGTTGAGGAGGAAGACAAAGAAAATCATCTAGTAGTTCATAGTGAGAAGCTGGCTATTGTCTTTGCAATTATGAACACCAGTCATGGTACACCCATTAAAATTACTAAAAATTTACGCGTGTGTGGAGATTGCCACATTGCTGCCAAACTTATCTCCAAGATCACCCAACGTCTGATTGTAGTTAGGGATACAAATCGTTATCATCACTTTCAAAATGGAGTTTGCTCATGTAGTGACTATTGGTGACTCTGCCAGGACTTACATAGTTGTGCACGTATTTCAGTTACTCATGTAAGTGGCTGCAAAGTTCTTATACGCATTTTGCTTAGCACATTACCCTTTTCGGGCTTCAATCAACAATCCTTTGATTGCCTGATCACACTGTTGGCCTCTAGCAAGGTTTGCAGGAAGAGTCAGTGGGCACAAATGACAGACAGCACAAGCAATTGAAGGGAAATTTTTGGACCTAAGTTGCTCACATTGTGAGAGGCCTCTTCCCATTTCCCATAATCTTATTCGTTATACATTAGCCTTAAATCTTGATTTACGTGAGGTAAAAAGTTAAAGAGCTCAATTGAGCCACTTCAGGAGTTGTAACTTCTTTTATTGTATGAAAAAATATATTGCCTTCAGTTTCATGCTCTTATTGTTGATTGGCATAACATACCCAATAATTGTACTAGTTTGCATTATCAGCACGCTTTCTTGATCTGATCTAACTGTTTGGACTAAATATATGTTTTATTTTATTTTTTAAAAAAGTGAGTTTGGTAGACATCAAGAATAATAGTGGGCCTAAAAAAACAAATAATGTAAAGATATTGCATCCGAGTCTAACTCAACCCTAAAAACTAGCTCATGAGGGGAGGATTGTTCAAGTCTATATAAGCAGACCACCAGTCTAAACGAGGATGAACTTGATTGAAATATCATGTAAAGTTATGGCATCCGAGCCTAATTCAACTTCATGAGTTAACCACAAATCTAAACGGGAATGAACCTGACTTTAATATTATATAAAGTTATGACATCCAAATCTAATTCAACCTCAAAAGCTAGCTCACGAACATCCATTTCTCATCAAATATAGCAGTGTGCTAAAAAAAATGTAACATGTGTGTTGTTGAATTAATCAATGACAATGACCCACTATGACGAGTTCAATTATTGCCGTTTGTTGTACAAACCTCACCTAACTTTAGGGGTAGCTTCGGTACGAAAATATTTTCTTGGATTAAATGTTTTTCAAATCAACTTATTTTCCTCAAATTTAAGAAAAATGTCTTTTCTTCAAAAATTAAGAAAAACATTTTCCAAAACTCTACTTCATCCTTCCCAAAACATTTTCCAGAAAATATTTTTTTCTTACCCTACCCTTCCCATTCAAAAAAAAATAATTTATTAAATTTTCTTATTTTTTAAATTTCAAATATTTTTTTACCTCTGCCCCAAACCAGCCCCCTCCCAAACAAAAAAAATAAAAAATTATTTTTAAAAAATATTTCAAATTTAAGATTTTTTTTTACCTCACTCAACACCTACCACCCCACAAAAAATTATTTTGGTTAAATATTTCAAATTTTTTAAAATTATTTTTACGCCACGCTCCGTCAAAAAATTATTTCTTTAAAAAAAATTATTTTTGAAAAATATTTCAAATATAAAAAAAACTTCATTTCTTACGCCACCCACCACCCCCTACCCCCTACCCCCTCCCCCTCCGTCACCCTCCATCAATTTTTTTTAAAATTGTTTTTGAAAAATATTTCAAATTTTTTTAAAAATCACTTTTTACGTCACTCCCTACTGCCCCCTCAGCCCCCACCCAGGACACCCTCAGTCAAATTCTTTTTTTAAACAAAAAAATTGTTTTTGAAAAATATTTCAATTTTTTTTTAAAAATCATTTTTTACGTCATCCCCCTACCACCCCCCCGGCCACCTCCGTAAAAAAAATTCATTTTTTATGTCACCCCAACCTCTACACCCTCCCTCAGCCGCCATCCCCCTCCCCGTTAAAAAAATAAAAAGATATTTTTGAAAAATATTACAAATTTTAAATTTTTTTTATTTTTATGCCATTTTCCCTACCCCAGAAATTCCCCAACCACCACCCTATCAATTTTTATTTTTTTAAAAAATATTTTTGAAAAATATTCAAATTTTTCAAATTTCATTTTTTACGTTATCGGATCAAAAGTTATTTTTCTAAAGAGTATTCTCTAGTTTCAAGTAAAAAATATAAGATATTTTCTGAAAATATTCTTCATTTACCAATCAAACATTAAAAATTATTTTCTACCCACCAATCAAATATGAGAAAATAAGTTAAAAATTCACTTATTTTCAAAGAAAACATTTTCCAACGTACCAAACACACCCTAGGTCTTTCAGACTTGGGTAGGAAAAAGA